ACCTATATGTTATTTCCAGAAAGGCCTGTTTATTTATTTAAAATTTTATATACCATCCACTACTGAGGTCTCAGGGTGGTCTTACAATAAAACAAAGTGGAGCACAGCATCCAAATTGATTTTCTATAAAATAAAACCCTACATTAAAATCAGACTCAAACCTTAAAATAATGGGAAGATAAGGTTTTAGCCTGGCACCAAAAGGGATAAATTGTCAGCCCCGGGTGGAGATCTTTGGGCAGTGTATTCCATAACTGGGGCACCACTGCAGAGAAGGCCCTTCTATGGGTAACCACCTAATCTTTTTCCAGGAGGGCTCCTAAAGAATGACCTCCTCTCCAAATCTTAAGGAGTGAGTAAGCACATGGGGAAGGAGACACTCCTTCAGATATCCAGGTCCTAAACCTAAGGTCTGTTGCTGGAGGCTTTGACTGAAATAAAGAAGAATGGCCGCTAAAGACTGGACTTTGATCCTGGCAGGGAAACCTGGCTCTCAAGAGGTTGCTTTGCTTTACCAGATGCCTCTGACCTGCTTTCTTTAGTTCATGATGGACCAAAGGAGGCAACCCTAAAATTTCCTCTCCTGCAAATATCTTCTTCTGCTGCCCTGCTCCCATGGAAGATGATCTTTGTTAAGAAGCAGGGGACTCCATCAAGATTAGATCTCCCAACTGTGGGAGATAAGCGGTATCAACATCCTGAATCTCACCCCTTCTCACTTCCTTCCCAGCCTGGTAGAACTGAGCTATTGAGAGTCTGCTTTCTTATGGGTGTGCCTTGCTCTGCTGCTTCGCCTCTAACCCAGAATCAGTGTTGCAGCTTTCCCCAGACTGGGACTAGGTTTTACAGTTTCTTTTTGAGGGTAACCCCAAAAGACCTTTTTATCCAACATTTTAATGTGTAATTGTTGTATTTATTGATTTTGCTGTGAGCTGTCCAGTGAGATTGGATGGCCTAAAAATACCCCAAATAAATAAAATAAATAAACCCAACCAAAATCTAATAGGCAATCACCACACTGCCTAAATTGATTCCTTAAAAACTAGAGAATTTTAAGGCAGCCAGATACCCTCCCTCTTTGCTGGCATCACAAATGGCTATAGAAAGGGAAAGGCAAAAAGTAGTGTGGTTATACTATGTTGTCTGCTTTACTTGCTGCACGTGGGTACTGTTGGTCCATGTCAGAGGACATGAAGAAGAAAGAAAGGTTGCTTACTTGTAATTTTAGTTGTTTGGCTGTAGGCACACAGCCCCATCCTTCAGGTACGCTACAGGTGCACTTGATTCCTGGTCTGCCTTATATCATTGCTGGTTTGTTAGGTATTGAGTGGAAAGGTGGGGACCATAGTTATTTATTTAAAATATTTTACCCTGTCCTATACTTAAAAGTCTCAGGATGGTCCAGCATCAAATGCATGCATGCTGAAATGGTGCTTCTGCTCTGTTCACACCGAGCATACATGTTTGACTGCAGATGGCCAGTCAAAGAACTAAATTACAGATAGTGACTTGTGTATACAGAATACCACTTTGGGCACTTGAAATTTGAGTTTGTACCCTCTCCTGTACCAAAAGAGCTAGAGAAAAAAATGGAGTAGTAGTGTCATTCTTTTGTCAGATAAACATTCAAGCAATTAGTGAATCATGATTCAGAGAGGCTGTGGCATATTTTTCATTTCTCAAAATAATAGGAGCAACTATATTTAAGTTCATATACAAAAAAGAAATTCAGGATGGAGACTATGAAGGCCAAAAATGAGCCTATCACAGAAGCATATTCTGTTGTTCCATTCAAGTTTTTCCACTGTGGATTCCTTTCTTTTGATTGTGGGTCTTGGCAATTCTGCTAGAAATCATTGCTTTTCAGACATCATTGTATTAACAAAGTGCTATTCTTGCTATTGTCTCCCTAAAATGAGAGAAATCCATTTCTATTTAACCAACCAAAAGGAGACATTTAAGAGGGAGAAACTACTCTTCTGTGTTTGCATGATTAAACAAACAATTTAATCCAGTGTGGTGTAGTGGTTAAGAGCATGGGACTGGGACTCAGATGATCTGGGTTCTAGTCCCCGCTCAGCCATGGAGCCAACTGGGTGACTTTGGGCCAGTCACAGACTCTGAGCCCAACCTACCTCACAGGCTGGTTTTGTGGGGATAAGATGGAGGAGGAAAGATGATGTAAGCTGCCTTGAGCCCTTTGTAGGAAAAAGGCAGGTTATAAATCGCAATATATAAATTTCTGTCTCAGCAAAATGAAGGCATGGACAATCAGAAAAATGGATGGGCATTTGTATTGGCAATACATATATATTAGAGGTTGTAGAAATACATTCCACATCTTAAGTGTTATCCTGTTCACATGCCTTTAAGGAAGCATTTTTGCTAGTCATCAGCAAATACACTACTTAGAGCAGCTTTCTACTGTTTTACTGTTTTCTGAACATGGACATAAAAACACAGAGTGAATGAGATGCCAGATGAATTGGTTAATAAAGTCCCTGCTTGCAGAGTTGCGGCCATCTCCCCACCCCCAGCACACCGTTTGTGCCCATCTCTCCCTCCCCCAGTGCACCTGCGATCATGCCAGTCTCTCCCTCTCGTGCCCCAGTGTGCCAGGATGACGGGCACCTGCAGGGATGACAGGTGCATGCAGGGATGACAGGCACAATCTCGGTTGTGCTGGGGGCGGGGGCGGGGAGATGACTGCGTTTGTGCTTGGGGTGGGGGGTGGGGATGGCCGCGATCTTTGTTGTTGTCACTTTGCTTCACATTTTTCTGATTTAAAAAAATGGTTACAGAACGGATTAACCTTATTTACATTGAACCTTATGAGGAAATTTAATTTGGCTCACGACCAATTTGGGTCATGACCAGAGTCCTGGAATGGATTCCGTTTGTGAGCCAAGGGGCCACTGTTTGTGGGCCACTCCAAAGGCAAACTAATTGGGTCCCAGCGTCTTGCACACTGGATCATGGAGACAGTTAAATTAGTGTACCTGCTAGTGGACTTGGAACTGCCAGATCACCCTAGGGCTCATTCCACCAGAGTGATGTCGACATTGATGGTCCTCCATGCCAGACTACTGCTGGATGCATTGTGTAGAGTAGCTATGTCGTCAACACCATCCACATTCATCCATCACTATCGGTTCAATGTGAGAGCCAGACAGGACTGTTCTTTTGGTTGGGCTGTGTTGTCCTCTATTCTCCTATAATGACACTTCCCACCTCCTTTATTGGTATGGTTCCTAGTTACCCATATGTGTGATACGCAGAGACCATGACAAAGAAAGGCAGGTTGCATACCAGTAAGTTGTTCTTCAAGTGGTCATCTGCATTCACACAACCCACCCACCAGCCCTGCATCAGTGACAGTGAATATATTTTTTATCTCCTTTTTCCTACTTATTTACATAGCATTAGGACAGTTAGGGGCCTACACATAGGGCAAATGTTGGTCTCCAGTTGGACTGAGAAAATGGCAGGAGCCCACTTATTTATAACAAGGGAGGCAGGGTTCCCACCAAAAAATTCTAGGCTTAGCTAGAGGTATCTTCTGAAATGTGGCACTGTGCAGGCACAGCATGTATATGTGTGAATGCACAGATGACCACTGAAGAATGAGTTACAGGTATGCAACCTGCTTTTCCTCCCTTAATCCCAAGGCCACTGGCCAGTCTCATTGGAACTGGGGGAGATGGTGGGAACCTCTCTGTTTTATATGGATGCAGTGGGAAGGGCCCCCACCAAAATGTTTTGAGCTATTAAATCTTCCCAAGAACAGGCTCCACACAGGTGCAGTGTCCATATGTGTGACTACTGAAAGAATGACAGTTGCAGATAACTTGCCTTTGTATTGCACCAGTAGCAATTGGCCAAATAAGGCAATCCCTTGTTTAAAACATTTTGTGTTATTCATTAGACACAAACAGTTTAAAACAATGGTAGAAAAGAGAAATAGAAGTAAAAACCAGAAAAAACTCTACCAGTGGTAGAAAAGTTTAAAATACAATGACAGATCTAAAATGCCAGAAACAGAAATACTGAAGTGCCTGAGAAAATAAGATCTTCACCTCTGCTGAAAAGAGCAGAATATAGGTTCCAGGCAAGCCTTTTTGGGAAGTTCATTCCATAATCAGGGTGCCCTGATAGAAAAAACCCTTTTAATGTCACCCACCTCACTTCGTTTGGCAGAGGCTCTTAAAGATGGAATGCTGAAAAGGGAGTAAGAAGATCAAAGAGGATAGGAAAAAAAATGATGGAAAACCTTGTTAGGGTAATCAACATTAAATCAAGTAAATTGGATGCTTTCAATAAATTCAGTTCTTTAATATGTATGTATGCATGCATACATTCATGTGTTTATTTATTAGATTTATATCCTGCCTTTTTTCTTTTAAAGAACTTAAAGCATCTTGCAGCATTCTTCCCCTCCTGTTTTTAATCCTATCCCCACTCAACAACCCTGTGAGATAGGTTGGGCTGAGAGTCTGTGACTGGCCCAAAGTCACCCAGTGGGCTCCATGGCTGAGTGGGGACAAGGACCCAGATTGCTTGAGTCCCAGTCCCACACTCTTAACCATTACAGCACACTGCCTCTATTACATTTCATAGTGATTTGATCTGTGTCCAAGTAAACATTATTCAGGAGGCTGGGCATTAATCCAAACATATAAGCGACTTCACAATATGCTAGTCAACACTGCAGCTGCACGGCCTATGTAGCCTGCATAAAGGTGGTTTTCCACATTGAGCAAAGGTATGTCCTGAAGGGTAAAAATATATTTAATTTTTCCATAATGCAGTGTCAAGGCTTTATCCATGGAATTAGTAAGATACCTACTTTTTATAGTTTAGGAAAAGTAGTTTGATTTGTATAATTAATTGTATATATTTGTATAACATATGATGTTGTGTAAAGAAAATAATTTGCTTTGAATGGATTCAAAACAAGGAGGCAAGATAGAATTTTTTCTTTTGTTTTTGTATTTCTCTAGGTGGTGGCTCCACTGAGAACGACTCTGCTTATGAACAAGAGTATGCTATCCCAACACTCCCAGTCCCTGAAGGTATGCAGCACATTCGGATTATGGAAGGCATGTCCCGCTCTCTCCCATCCTCCCCATTACTAACACATCAGTCTATCAGTGTTCGGCTCCAACCCATGAAGAGATTAACTGGTAAGGAACTCACACAAGTTTAGTAAGTTTGAAATTATAAATAAAGATCGGTTCTTCCATCTCATCCCAAAAAAATCCCTTCTTTCCACAACTCTCCATTAATAATTCTTTTGACTGACTTTGTGTAGGCTGACTAATTTGAGGAGTCTGTTTTGAACACAGAAATGCAGAGAAATTTAAAGTATGATACTGAGCAGCACCACGGTACAAGACAGCCTTCCCTCCAATCAGACATACAGGATTTCCAGGAAGGAAAGCAAGGGGAAAGAGAACAGATCCTTTCTGGTACTATTCAAAACCATGGTTCCCAGTGGCCTGTATTGTTGGGAGTAAGAAAGATGGTTGCCCTGAGTGCGCATTCTCAAGGCCTCCTTCTGCAGAAGAGGAGGAGGAGGAGGAAGAGTGGGTGGGGGGGGGGGCTTGGAATGTGGGCCAGTTCCAGATATTGAGGTGAGAGAAGTGGAGGCACTCATCTTAAGGCTGGACTCCCTGGGTCGGCAGGCAGCCTCTGGGAATAACCAGGATGTACAGTTAGTGGGGCAAGACTTGGAACACAGCAGTTTTTCAGAGATAGACAAGGTGGATACGGGGCTTCACCCCATGATGTGTTGTTAGCAGGAGGTCAGCCCAGTTGGGGGATTAGCATGCAGAAAGGAGGTGTATTCATTTTCAGAAGGCCCCTCCCAAAGGGATGGGGCCCAGACATGCTGATAAAAAGAGTTCCTGGATTGGGTTCATACTACATTGGGTTCAACAAACCACTCTGTGCATGCTCACTGATCCTTTTCTGTTGTTTGTGTGTCTGGAAAATGGTCAAGAAATAAAGTTTTGCAAGAAAGACCTGTGGCTAATCCACAAACTTCCTTGTGAGGAAGGTTGGGCTGAGGGAGTAGCTGGTTCAAATTCATATTGTGAGCACTGTGTGCTTGGTGGTGGTGAGGTGGATATTTGAACTTGGAGATCTCAGATGCCAATCTGGCACTCTTACCATTATATAGTAGAACTGTAACATTCTGTGGACAGAGGCAGTTCCTCAGGGAACTGAATGAAGTGTTTTAACATTGTGGGAAGTTACTAACTTTGCTAAGGACATTTTGTCTTTCTTTTTAATATGGCACGAAACCCCACAGGTTGAAATATTTTAGCAATTTAATCTGAGTTCTCAAGTTTGAAATAATTTTGGGCATAATTAGGTATATCAGTCATAGATAATGTATTTGTATATTCTGGAATTAATATATGAGATGTGATGTATTGGCCCTCTTTTCAGAGAATTATTTGGAATGTGTTCATTAAAAATTACCAATATTTACTGCTTTTCAGACGTAGCTATTTATTATGTATACGTAGAATCATAGAATGATGGAATAATATAGTTGGAAGGGGCCTATAAGGTCATTGGTTCCAACTCCCTGCTCAATGCAGGACTCCAAATTAAAACATTCCCAACAGATGACTGTCTCACTGCCTCTTGAATGCCACCAGTGTGGGAGAGTCTACAACCTCCCTAGGAAGTTAATTCCATTTCTATGCTGCTCTAACAATCAGGAGGTTTTTCCTGATGTTTAGGTAGAATATGGCTTCCTGCAACTTGAGCCTATTATTGCATGTTTGACACTCTGATTATTCTGATTAAGGATAAATCTTGGTCCTTCTCTGTGTGACAACCTTTGAAGGATTTTAAAAATGCTGTTGTATTGCCCCTCAGTCTTGGCTTAAATGTGCCCGGTTCTTTCAATCTCTCCTCAGTGGGCTTTGTTTCCCGTCTCCCTATCATCTTTATTGCCTTCATCTGAACCCTTTTCAGTTTCTCTGCTTCTTTCTTGAAGTGTGGTGCCCAGAACTGAACACATTACTTAAGACAAGGCCTAATTAATGCCAAATAGAGGGGAACCAGTACCTCATGTGATTTGGTAGCTATACTGTTAATGCAGCCCAAATACTATTTGCTTTTCTTGCAGTCACATCACAATGTTGACTCATATTCCACTTGTTATCTACAACAATTTCAAGATCCTGCTCACTTGTAGTATTCTTGAGCCAAGTATCTCCCAACCTGTAACTGTAGAATTGGTTCCCTTTTCCCTGTTGTAGAAATTGGCATTTGTTCATATTCAATTTCATTCTTTTGCTTTCAGCCAATTGCTCTAGCCTATCAAGTTTACTTTTATTTGCATCCTCCAAGCTTTTAGCTATCCCATCCAGTTTTGTCTCATCTGCAAATCTGATGAATATTCCTTGTACCTCTTCATACAAGTCATTAATAAAAATGATGCAGCGCACTGGATCCGGGACTAAACTCTGCAGTACCCCACTTCTTACATCTCCTCAGTATGGGAAAGTGCCATAGAGAAACGCTATCTGAGTCTGATTTTGTAGCCCACTATGGCTCCACCTGATAGTTGTTCCCTCTAGCCCACTTTATCTAGTTTTCTGATAATATTCTGCAATTATCCTCACTGTGATGTTACTCCTCAGAATCTGTCCCTCTTCTGTCCATTCAACTTTTTCTTGTGCTTGACCTTTCCTTTGGAAGTGAGCTGAGCCAAGAGGAAGTCATGAATGCTTGTGCAACTTGAATCTTTTTCTGTTGCATGCTCAGCACAAAGCTGTAAAGCATGTGCAAGAAGAGGGGCATTGCTTGCCCATTGTTTGTCTGGGGTTTCCTCTTGGTAGGCCCTTATGCAAATGCTGGGTGCACTCACCAGGGAGTCAGACCCATGGGCACAGGAGAATGGGCTGAAGTCCAGGGAGCTGATCCCATGGTATCCAACAGATTCCCATGTCCACATGGATTCCTTATGAATCTCTACATTAAAGTGTTTGGGATGACGTTATTAATTTTCTTCTATGGCAGGATCTAAGGAAATCATCAGGTAGTATACACAAGTACTCCTGATAATCAATGCAAACTGTGGAATAATGCATGGGGGAAAAGGTCTTCATTCATTGTCGTGGTCTTAGTTGGCTGCTCTTTATCAGCAAACACCTTACACCACTGTAAGACTTCTTTGCAAGGTGTTCCAACATCTTGGTGCTGCAAAGGAAAGGGCTGTGTCCCTTGTGCTAATCCACAGTACTTCAGACAATAGGGTGACATGGAGCAGCGACTCAGAAACTATCTCAGATGTTGGGCAATTTTGTGTTGCTAAAAACAATTTTTAAAATACTTTGGTCCCAAGTCATTTAGAGGTTCAATGGTTAACAACAGTAGTGGAAACAAAATGATATCCATGTAGAAAGCATTAGGCAGACCCTCCATACTAGCGCATCAGTTTGGTGAATGAAGAGGCATTGGAACAGGCAGAAGAACAAGTGGTTAGGAGGAGAGAGGAGTGAGAAGGGGGATGGGGGAAGCAGGAAAGGGAGTGTAATGTTCAATAAATGTTAGGCTTATGGGTCAAATTTGGATTGGCTCCTCTCCTCTTGTTCTGCTCTGTCTTATCCCTCTCTTTCTTTTTGTTAATATTTATTTTATTAAGATGCAATGTATGATTGCATCTTAAGATGTAATATATGATTGGGATGCAGGTGGTGCAGTGGTTTAAACTGCTGTGCTGCTGGGCTGGTTGATCAGAAGGTCGCCGGTTCGAATCTGCACAACAGGGTGAGTTCCTGTTGCTCCATCTCAGCTCTTGCCAACCTTGCAGTTTGAAAACATGCAAACGCAAGTAGATAAAAAGGTACCACTTTGGTGGGAAGGTAACTGCATTCCGTGCACTTTGGTGTTTAGTCATGCTGGCCACATGACCACAGAGACTGTCTGCAGACAAATGCTGGCTCCCTTGGCTAGGAAACAGAGATGAGCACCGCCCCCTAGAGTCAGACATGAGTGCACTTTAATGTCAAGGGGAAACCTTTACCTTTAATGTATAATTAAAAGATTATTAACTTTTAAATTGAAATAGTTAAGAATAACGAGATTAATTGGAAGTAAGTAGCTATGAAAAGAGGCATTAAGGGTGTATATACCTAGAATTGGTATAACCGGTGGGGTCCCTGCCCCCATCTGGAGATCTAGAGGTGTCCAGAACATTTTCGGTCTGGGAGAAGGAAGGGTCATTGTATAGAAGCAAGTATATGTTTGGGTGAAGGGTCATTGGATTCATTATGTGGGGAACTAAAAATAAATGTAGGTTTAGGGGGGTTTTTCCTGATCTTTTTTGTAGATTCATAGAGGATCACAAGGGACCAATAATGATACAGGTTACTGAATGGATAATTCAAATTAGTATCTTTGAATGTCAAAGACCTGGGGAATGTAATTAAAATGAAATTAATTGAAGCAATGATAAGTACAGATAAAGTCAATCTTGTATTTCTACATCAAAAAACAAAGCAAAACAAAGGGTTAATGAACTTAAAGTGTTTTGGTGAAACATTTATGGAAAAGCTTATGGAAATGCCAAAGCAAGGGAGGTAACAGTTACTATTTCTAAGAAGGTTGAATTTAAATTAAATAAAGATAAAAAAAGATGAAAGTGGTAGGTATTTGATACTACAGGGCAAAATTAGAGGAGAATAGTATTCATTGGTTAATGTTTATTATCTGAATAATAGTCAAATGGAATTTTAGAAAAGGTATTTAAGGAAATATAAATAATAAAGGGATTTCAGTATGGTAATGAATAAAAATTAAGCTATTTTGCAGCTTGATCCTGTTAAAGATATTCTGTGGTTTGAACCCTGTTAAAGAATAGAGAGGATATAATATCACAATATTGAATAAAATGGTAAATTAAAATTGCTTGAAAGATTATGGAGAGAACTAAATGGAGCTGATGCATTAAGAGATGGCCTAATAAAAATTTGGTATTCCATGAGGGGAAAAAACCCTCCTCCAATCTATCCTTTGATCCCCCGGTTGAAACATATGGAAAAAAACTTAAGGGAAAATAGTTATTTTATAATTTATGGGGATATAATTGGCCAACAAGAATAACTCAAATCTTGGCAACAACTAAAAGATAAAGGAAACAATGTACAATGGTTTATCACCA